TTTCTCTTTATAACTTGTTAGGAATAACATAATAATAACAAAGACTTAACTCCATGTGTTTACATTGTTGCCAGATTCAACTCCAGGTCAGTCTTGGCTTTCCTAGTACTATTGCTGCAAGATCAGACAGCAACCTTAAACTCCTGCTTGGTCACCTGTCCCCAGTTCCACTCCTTATACCTTCCTTTTTAGGTCTGAGTTCAGTCAGGAGCTCCTTACTCACTCTTGCCAGTCTCTTGCTGCCTTTGATTTCCCACTTGCTGGGATGGCTCTTTCTTGGTCTTGGAGGAGGTGATCCTTGTATATCAGCCAGCCCTCATGGAGCCCTCTTCTTTCCTGGACTGTATTCCATGGCATTTTTCAAAGCAGATTCCTGAAGAGGCCAAAGTCTGATCTCTTGAAATTCAGGGTTGCCTTCCTGGTTTTTGCCCTGATTTTGCTTCTTAGGGTCCTGAACTCCAATGTCTCTTGGTCACTGCAGCCAACACTGCCCCATCCACAACCGGTTCTTCCCAGTTTATGAATACCAGGTCTAGGAGAGCACCTTTACTTTTTGGCTCCTTGATCACCTCTGCCTGGAAGCTGTGATCAGTGCGGTTTAGAAACCTCCCAGGTTGGATGAGCCCTGTTGTATTTTCCTTACAGCAGATATGAGGGCGGTTCAAGTCCCCAGTGAAGACCAGCACCTGTGACTATCTGGCTTCTTCCTGTTTGAAGAAGTCCTCATCTACTTTTCTCAGCCTCTCCAGCTGTCTTAGCCTTTCTTTGCATGTCATGTGTGTTAGCCCCCTGACCCATCCTGGTGCACCTCTGCTGGCCTGTCACATATGCCAATATTTGTCATATACTGGGGAGCCTAAAGCTGGACCAAACCCTCCAGATGTATTCTTGCAAGTGCTGAATAGAATTAAAGAACTACTTCTTTCAACCTGCTGCATGCACTTCAACAACCCAGGGTATGTGCTGGGCTTCCTTGATGGAAGGTCATACTGGTGGCTCAGGCTCAACCTGCTCACCAGACTTCTCAGGTCTATACAAAACTGCTTTCTAGCCAGTTAACACTCAGCTTCTATATGGAGTTATTCCATCCCAGATATGACTTTCCATTTACTTTTCTTGAACACCATAAGATTTGTAACAGCCTTTTTGTGCAGCCTTTTAAAGTTTCTTTTAATAGAAACCCTGCCATCTAGTACATCAAGTGCTCTTCCCAGCTTGGTACTGTCTGTCAGCTTGCTGGGAGAACTTTGTTCTACACATCTTGTAGTTCTTTGTATGTCTGGACAAGATTTCTAGGAGGATTTAGTCCATAAACTTTCCAGGGACTGAAGTTGGGTGACTGGTTTGTAGTTCTCTGTATCCCCCTTCTTGTCTTTCTCGAAGACAAGTGTGACATTTGCTTCCTCCTGTCAGGATTCTCCACCAAGTTGCCATGACCTTTGAAAGAAAATGGGAACTGCCATGCAAATGGTATCAGCCAGCTCCTTGAGCATCCTCAGATGCATTCCACCCACAGTAAGTGATCCCTAACTGTGTCTTCTACTGTGGTCACAGCTTCGCCACCCTGCACCCTGCTAAAAGGGTGAGAGGCTTGAGAGGGGATTTCCCAGTGAAAACAGAGACAGAAATTTCAATAAGTACCTCAGTCTTTCCTGTGTCCTTTGTAATGGTTCTTTGAACGTCATGTTGAAGAGTCCTACTTCCTGCAGCCCCAATTTTCATAGAATCACACAATAGTTTGGGTTGGAAGGGACCTTTAAAGGTCATCTAGTCCTAGTAGTGTACTTACTTTCTCAGCAATTTACTTACAGAATCCATTCAAGTTGCCTTTCTCTTCTCTTGCAAGTTTTAACTTGAGGTTGGCTTTTCTAATGTAATTTTTGCAGGCTCAGGCAACATCTTTGTTTTCCTGCCTGGTGGCCCATCACTGCTTACACACATCACAGAACACTATCTGTGTACTTAGTCTTCATGGATAGATAAACTCAGTCAGAGGTTCCCTATCCGTCCAAGCTGGCCGGGGCAGGTTGCTTCTACACTGCTTCTTAGGTATCATACATTACTGACAGTTCCCATTCTGAATTAACCAGTAACATGGCATCCCATGACCATGCTGAAACGTGCGCACAATACTTAACCACAGCAACAGACTCCTAATCTTGCTGACCTGGGCTTCCAATTCATAACCTTTGCCATCTTACTGCCAAACACGTTAAAAAAGAATCATAGAACCATAGAATCTTGAGTTGGAAGGGACCCATAGGGATCTTTGAGTCCAGCTCCTCATGGGACTAAAGCTAAAGCATGTGACTAAGAGCACCGTCTGGACACTCCTTGAACTCTGACAGGCTTGGGGCCGTGACCACTCCCTGGGGAGCCTGTTCCAGTTGCCCATTAGCCACTCAGTGAGGAACCTCTGAACTTCCCCAGATCCAGCTTCCTTCCATTTCCTCATGTCCTATCACCAGCAACAGGAGATCAGCACCTGTCCCTCTGCTGCCCTCCTTGAGGAAGTGGGCAGTGAGAGTTGCTGAGATCACAGGAGAGCTCCAGCCTGTATCTGGCATTGGGGATCACTACCAGTCCTTTAAGGAGATTTATATTTTAGCCTGGAAAGCTGAGAAAGTGCAGTGATGGGCTATCAGGACTACTGCTCTGGCATTAAGGAGCTGTCTACTGAAGTAATCCATGCTTGCAAAGGGGAAAAAGGAGTCTTCTTCCTCCCTCAAGTCAACAGGAATCGGGAGCCAAGAACATGTTTCTCTGAGGAAGAAAGAACCTGCCTCTCACAGTAACAACCTGGTTACTTCTTTCATTACAGCATTACTTCACTCTTAAAAGAAGACATCCTGCTTTAGAATGATTGTCACAGCAGAGAGTTGAGGGCCAGTGCAGGAAACTGAGTAGAAAAATGGTTCTCACTTCCAGAAATACTATGTCCCTGTAGCTTCTTAAAACTTGGATATGTTTCTTGCTGTACATTTTGTCCTGAAACTTTATGTTGTGTGGGAAGTCTCCAGTTACAAAATTAAATCTACAAAGTTGAGCAAACTCTGTCTTTAGAGGAGGTAATTTTACAAAAAAAAAATGTTTGCGTTACACTGGATACCTACTTTTGCACTTTTAAGGAGGGAAAAAAAAGGATAAGAAAGGGAGAATGAATTAATCTATTATTGCCTGTGAGGGCTGGAGATGCTTTACATTAAACCAAGCTATTGTAAGTTAAGAAGTGCATCTTCATATTATTTCTTTGGTTTTAGGTGGGCAGTTCTAAATTATTCAGTGAAGTAACCTCACCATTAACTTACTGTAAGGCAAAGCAAAGTATTACATCCACAAGAGATTCTTTTAAATCCCACATGAAACGAGGTACTTGTAACTTGCTGCTGGTAACAACAGAACAGGGCTAATACCACCGTTGATATTGCCAACTATCTCAAACAGATCTTTTTAAAACTATATGCAGGCTTGTACTGGTTTTCAGTTCAGATGAACTGTTCACGAAAGAAAACACTGTTTGGGCTGGACAGGTAGCAACACCTGGCTAGAAGGAGCAGAACACGAACACAGGCAGGAGTTCCACCAAGGGATTTCTCCCTTATTATGCATCATACTCCTCTGAAGACAACAGATCTTGAAGTCATTTCAGGAAAATGGAATCCCAATGTTTTTCTCCTTCTCTGACTCGATTTGTATTTACTCCAGTTATTTGTTGTTTCAGTGAGGCCCTCTAAAGGTTCTCATCCATCTATTCATTCACATGAATAGAAATACTTACAGGGGGGTAAAATAATAGAATCTTAGAATTGTCTATGTTGGAAGGGATCTTGCAGATCATCGAGTCCATCTATCAGAATCACAGAATCTTCATGGTTGGAAGGGACCTTTGAGATCATTGAGTCCAACCAGAAAAAAAACCAAAACAACAAAACAAAACCAACAAAATCCACCCACTAAAAAAAAACACAAACAGACACAAATCAGCAATCTTGAGCACTAGAGCATGCCCTGAAGGGCCACGTCTATCCATTTCTTAAATACCTCCAGGGATTGTGACTCCACCACCTCCTTGGGCAAGCTGTTCCAGTGCCTGACCATCCTCTCAGGAAAGTAATTCTTCCTATAATCTAATCTAAACCTCTCCCGCCACAACTTCAGACCATTTCCTCTGGTCCTGTCATTATCCCCTTGGGAGAAGAGGCCAAAACTCACCTCTCTACAACCTCCTTTCCTGACACCACCACTAAACCATATGGCTAAGCACCACATCTACCCATCTTTAAATATCTGCAGAATCCTCTCAGGAAAGTAATTCTTCCTATAATCTAATCTAAACCTCTCCCGCCACAACTTCAGACCATTTCCTCTGGTCCTGTCATTATCCCCTTGGGAGAAGAGGCCAAAACTCACCTCTCTACAACCTCCTTTCCTGACACCACCACTAAACCATATGGCTAAGCACCACATCTACCCATCTTTAAATATCTGCAGAGATGCCAATTCCACCACTTCCCTGGGCAGCCAATTCTATATGTTTGATCATCCTTTCAGTGAAGATATTTTTCCTAATACCCAATCAAAACCTCCCCTGAAGATGCCAATTCCACCACTTCCCTGGGCAGCCAATTCTATATGTTTGATCATCCTTTCAGTGAAGATATTTTTCCTAATACCCAATCAAAACCTCCCCTGATGTAACTTGAGGCTGTTTCCTCTTGTCCTATTGCCTGTTACTTGGAAGAACAGACAGACCCCCACCTCCCCTTTTAGGTAGGCTCATGTTCAGTGGGCAATTGGCCAACACCCCCAAGGCCTTTTCTGCCAGGCACTGCTCCAGCCACTCTGCCCCAAGCCTCTAGCGCTGCATGGGGTTGGTGTGACCCAAGTGCAGGACCCACCACTTGGCCCTCTTGAACCTCATCCCATTGGCCTCGGCTCAGCCAGCCAGCCTGTCCAGGGGCCAGAGGCGACCCCGGTGCCAAAGGATTTTGCCAAGGAGCTTAGGCAGGGAAAGGCTTCGGGAGCGTCGTCTCCTTTTGCCGCGTCAGGAAAGATGCCCTTGGTGGAGAGAAAGCGCAAAGCCTGAGGAAGGCCTCCGCCTGCGAAAGGCAGGAGCCGGCAGCTCGGAGAGGGCCTCTGAGACCACCTTGCTCTGCACCAGACCAACAGCTGCCTCCCTCTGGCCTGAGTCTCCTTTTCACATGTGAAATTTTATTGAAGAGAACAGGTCTATGCGGGCGTCTAACAACGCCCACCATCTTCCCACCATCTTCCCCATCGCCTCCATCCAACAAATGAGCCTCTGTGCTGGGTTTCCCGAGCTGCTCCAATCACCAGGTTTGGGGATCCCATTCTGCAAAGAAACCATGGCAAAAATCAGCGTCACTGCGGGATGTGCAGAGCGAGAGCGGGCTCTGTGTGTCAGGCCCCTCTCCCAGCAGGGACCGTCCCCATTTCTTCCCCAGGCGGCTTGCTGGCAAACGGCCGGTTCTGCCCTGGCCTCTTGCCCACCCGCACGCACTCTACCTGCAGAGGCAAGCACTGGTGGGGCTTCTCCTGCCTGCTGCAGCTGCATGTCCCCAGCAGAGTTTCCTCCTCGCCTTCCTCATCCAGCCCCTTGGAGACAAAGCACAGGGGAGGAGGTCAGGCTCGACGCGACCACGAGGAAACCTTCCTGCCTGCCCCGGGCCCGTCATCTGCACCCGCCTCCTGTGGCTCCAGCACTGCTTGGGAGCACACGCATCTCGGCAGCCGCGCAGAGAGCAGCAAGTCCCCGTTACAGCTTTTCCCCACCGCCAGCTCCCAGCCCCCGGCAGAGACTTACACAGACAGCGAAATCTCGGGGGGCACTGATGGCAGTCCCCAGCGGAGAGGCTCTCTCGGAGCTCTGCTGCACGGTGATGGTCTGCAGAGGCATTTGTGCCGGTACCTGGATCAGCACTTCGCTCCCAGACCCTTGGAATGGCCAGAAGTATCTCTGGAAATCGTCCGGCTGGAAGCAGAAGGCAAGAGCACGGAAGGTGAGGGCATGATGGGGCCCCAGTGCTCCAATGTAGCCACGAGCACAGGCGGCACCGCGCCGCTGGGCTGTGCTTGTGCTGGAAACGAGTGGCGTGTTGGGAAGCCGACAGAAGCGCCCGGCCATCTTCCTGAGCCGGGAAGGAGGGAAACAGCCATCCAGTGGGAAACATCCCATACCCTGCACCGCAGCCAGGGCTTTCAAGAAAGCTCTCCTTTTGGTCAGCAGCTCTGCACGCTGCCCCCACCCTCCACTGCCCCATCTGGGGAGCAGGGAAAGCCCAACCACTGCTCCAAGAAGGGGCTTGTGCACGGCCCAGCTGGTCCCAGCCCTCCTTCCCAAAGTGCAGCATCACCTTCTTCATAGTGTCCATGTCTGCAGCCAGGCACACCATCTCATTCCTCAGCCGTTGAGGTTGTTCCATGGAGCCACCAGAAAAGCCAATCTGAAAGAGAAAAGCTCTCCGTTGGAGTCCCAGAGCTGCCGGGGCTTTCCAGAGCTGGGGCCTCCAGGAAGGGCTGGCAGAAGCTGCTGCCCGTTCTCCGCGTCACCGCCTGGAAGCCCAGGACGGGGCCATGTACCCACCCACCAGCAGCGGGCTCCCCTCTGGGCCTTTCCTGTCCCACAACAGCAGTCACTCACCTGCAGCACATCCGCTGCCCGCTGCCTCCACGTGAGCTGCACAATCCCACAGCAGGCACCGGCTGCAATGCACATCCCCAAGAGAGAGTTACTTTACGAGGGTTTCTAAGGATCCCTGCCATCCCGCCGTCTCCTCCCCCAGCGTGGTGGTGGCAAGAGGCTGGCTGAGGACATGGGGAAAGGGTGCCGAGAGAGGTTGTGGCTGAAGCTCACAGTCGCCACCTCCGTGGTCTGCTGGCAGCAGACAGACTCACCAAGAGCAGCCAGGTTGATCATGACGAGGATCGCGACGAGCCTCTTCTTGTTGGCGGCGACAGTCTCTTTCCTGAAAAAGAGGGGGTTCTGGGCTTAGCAGTGGCCAAGGGCAGAGCCCTGCCTGCCCAGGGGGACTTTCTCTTCCAAGCTGAGGAGCAGGACTTTTGGAGGAGCCAGGGTCTCCTGGTGGGAAGCATGACCCTGCTCGCCCCGACCCACTGGCACCCCTCGTCTCCGTGTCCCCCCTGCACCCTCTTGTACTCACAGGCTGGAGATGACCATGCTGAGGCATCTCTGGACAAAGTCCACAGCTAGCAGGACACTGAAGAGCACGCCTGTGTGAAGCAAGCGGAGATGAAGCTGAGGAGCCCTCTTGAGGCCACGGGTCCAGCGGGGAGGTGGGCGCTGGGCCTCCCTCCCTGGGGGCAGGGCCGTGGGGATGCCCTGGAGAGGGGGGCAGCTGGGGGCACCCTGGCAGTGGGGTACCAAGGGCCGGGCAGGATCCCCCGGCAGGCAGGGCACCCATGGCGTGCCTGGGCAGGGAGGGTGGCCCCGGTCCTGGGGGACCGCGGCCTTCCTCCAGGATCCCACCAAGGCACGCACAGGGGAGCCAGCGCCACATGCTCTGCCAGGCCAGGTGGCCCCAGGCCTCCCTTGGGGCAGGATGGCGCTGGTTGTGCAGGGCCGTGGCTCCCGGCCCAGCCAGGCAGCCTTGGTGACAGCATGGCCTGAAAAAAGGCAGCCCTGAACTTACCCTTCTTGGCTGCAGCCCTGCAGCGAGAGAACCTCGGCCGCCTGGTGCCCCGAGCCTGCCCAGATCGGGCCCAGGGGCCTCTGGCCCATCTGCTGGGGGCTCTTGCAGGAGCCCTTATCCTCCCCATCCTGGGGAGCAAGGAAGCTCTCCTGAAAGCTTCGGTGCTCTCCTTCAGACACACGAGTGTCGCCTGCTCTCTGCGGGCAGAGCCCTCCTGGAGACAGCCCCGAGGAGAACGCCTGCCCCAGGCACACAGCCAGCAGCACACTGCGAGCCCACAGCTTATGGCCCACAGGGCACGACCTCACAAAGGCCTGGCCCCGCACGCTCTGACCTCATGGCTCTGACGCCACAGAGAGAGCTGCAGCGTGGCCACATGCTGGGCAGAGACCCCGCTGACCACTTGGCCCTCTGGTTTGCATTCCTGACGAGACCCGTAGAATCACAGAATTACAGAATCATCTCGTTTGGACGGGAGCTTTAGGATCACCTAGTCCAACCCTCAACCCAACTCTGAGAAAAAAAAACCCATCCTGAAACCATGTCCCTAAGCACAATGTCAGCCTTTCTTTTGAACACCTCCAGGGATGGTGCCTCCACCACTTCCCTGGGCGGCCCTTTCCAGTGCTTCATAAGCCTTGCAGTGTAAAAATGTTTCCTAATGTCCAATCTGAACCTCCCCTGGCACAACTTGAGGCCATTTCCTCCTGTTCTAGAGCCTGTTACTTGGGAGAAGAGACCAACCCCCACCTCTCTATGGCCTCCTTTCAGGTACCTGCAGGGAGTGAGAAGGTCTCCCTCAGACTCCTTTTCTTGAGGCTGAACAACCCCAGCTCCCTCAGCCGTCCTCATAAGACTTGTGCTCCAGACCCCTCACCAGCTTCATTGCCCTTCTCTGGACGCGCTCCAGCACCTCAATGTCTTTCTTGTCACGAGGGACCCAAAACTGGACACAGCACTCGAGATGGGGCCTCACCAGTGCCGAGCACAGGGGGACCATCACCTCCTGAGTCCTACTCACCACGCTCTTCCTGAAACAGGCCAGGGTGCTGTTGGCCTTCTTGGCCACCTGGGCACACTGCTGGCTCATGTTCAGTGGGCTGTCAACCAACACCCCCAGGGCCTTTTCTGCCAGGCACCGCTCCAGCCACTCTGCCCCAAGCCTCTAGCGCTGCATGGGGTTGGTGTGACCCAAGTGCAGGACCCACCACTTGGCCCTCTTGAACCTCATCCCATTGGCCTCGGCTCAGCCAGCCAGCCTGTCCAGGTCCCTCTGCAGAGCCTCTCTACCCTCCAGCAGCTTGACACTCCCACCCAGCTTGGTGTTGTCTGCAAACTTCCTGAGGGTGTGCTCGATCCCCTCCTCCAGATCATTGATAAAGGTATTAGAGAGAACCGGCCCCAACACCGAGACCGGGGCCACCAACTGGATTCAGCTCCCTTCACCATCACTCTCTGGGCCCGGCCATCCAGCCTATTTTTTACCTAGCAAGGAGTACTCCTGTCCATGCCATGGGCAGCCACAATCCCTGCGTCAGTATGACGTTGTACCAGTGTTCATGTGACATCTGTTCTGTCCCTTGTCATCTGCAAGCTATCCATAATCCAGTCAGCATATTGGAAAATTACAAAAAAGTCACACAGTCCCGGAAGATCTGTGGACTTCTGTTCTGAGAGAAAGATTGGTACAAATTGGTCCTTCTTATTCACATGTATTTCTTTGGAGTACCCAGAAATTTAAGAGGTATTATCTCATGGATGCACTTTCATAGTAGCAATTTCTCCAGATGGGAAGACTGTAACACAAGTACGTAATGTAATGGAGATTATAAAGAGCACTTCCTGCAGGAAAGATTTTGTGTGGTTTCTTTTTTACTGCAGCTAAGATGAAGTGCCAATAGTCATCACTGATACAGTGTTTTGGTTAGCTTCATCTTTTGATAACTATAAAGCATCAATTACCTCAGTTAACAAAATGGAAAAATGAGTGGAAAATGATCTCTTCTGTTACTATGTATACTGACAGAAGAGTTCCATGAGGGGGATTGTTGGTTCAGAAAACAATATTGGGTAATTCTAGTTATCTGTCATGGAGAGAATGTGAGGGACGTGATACTTTGGCACAGGGAGAATGAAAAACCCTCAGAAGTATCCAAAGTTATTGAAAAAAATTAAAAATCCCCTCAAACCCTTAATTGTGAAAAAAATTAGTGGTAGACGATACTGATGTTTCCCTGCCCAACTTTACTGTTTACAGCTGTTTACAATTTTACAGACGAGATATTAATAAAAACTGTAGAGAAATCTAGTTTCTAAGTGGCCTACAACAAAGCCAAAATGGAGAAGACCAACAGTAGTTGGTAACAGTAGTAAGTAAAAACACACTTATGTCAGCACTAATCTAACCTGCTTGAGCATTAGCAGCAGCAAAACCAGGGTAACAATGATCTTGACTGGGAATTACTTGCGCAAATCCTACCTTTGGTCTCAGATTCCTTGTACAGTTGCTAAAGAAAGTCCCTGCTGGGGCACTGAAAACTGGAAGTGACTTGAGACCAGGTCAGCGTTTTGGTGCATTGCTCCATCAGACAACGTGGCAGTTGGACCCAAGAAGTTGTAGCCATGTCACATGTACAAAAGTCTTTCACACAAACCCTGTAGCTGGGACACATCATTATAGCAGGATGATAGAGGGTTGCTTCACTCTCAGCCATGAATTCAAACCTGCCTTAGGTTAGTAATAGCAGAAGGTAATTAGTATTGACGGGAAAAGGCTCCAGAGCCGTTGCTCTGCATCTGCAAGTACAGCCAGTCGTGTGCTGAAAGGTTTTGTGTCCTGGCCGTCTCTGCCAAAATACCAAACTTGTAGTGGAAAGGAATGTTTCCTCTTCCAGTATTTTATTCTTGGTCACTCTCTGCCTGTCCTTCATTGACTCCAGCCTTTGTAGCGCTGCACTGGCAGAGCCAAATACAATGCTATTTCTTCTGGTTTTAGTGCTTCTTCGTTATTCGTTATTCTTCACATCTTCAGTAACATCAGGAAGAACATTGAACGGGCAACAGTGAAATAGCAATCATCTAAGGTAATTACAGCCAGAAACAGGTTTGACATTGAGTCTGATCTAAACAGTTCAGCTCTTTCCATATAGAATTTTCTCTTTCATAAAATCACCGTCGGAGGACACTGGGGTGTACCATATCATAGCAGTGCTTACTTCTCTTCAATGATTATCTAAAATGGATGAGGCTTCACAACTGGATGCCGAGCTCTCATGCGGCCAGTTGTTACGTGCGCTGAACAGCGCACACACTAACCTGCGGTCGGTGCTGTCAGAGAAGAGAGTTTAATTTCAAAGTGACCCATACCGCATCCCACCACCTGTGCTAGGCACTAGAATTTGCCTGCAGCCATTATCTTTATTCTTCTGGCGAGGTGGAAGCACTGCTTTTGCCCCGTGGAACCTTTACCTGGGGCAGGGGAAGGTCGCAGGAGAAGAGAGGAGGGGAGAAGAAAGGAATGTCAAAGGAGAAAGGGAGGGAAGAAGGGCAGAGGTGTGGGGGAATAGACTTCATGGAATATACACGGAGAAGCAGAGAGGACTGGAGGAAAGGATGAGGTAAGGAAGCATGGCTACACAAGGAAGACAGCCTTTAATGCAGTGGAAAAGAGAACAAGTCTGGAGGGTAGTACTGGAACAAGAGCTGGGGATAAAGGAGAGGGTGTGAGAGCTTCACAGGGAGTATAAAACATAAGGAAAAAGGTAGGAAGAAATAAGTAGCCTGAAAGGCAAAAGGGACAAAAGAAGAATGATTTGTGTGCATCCCTACTCAAAGATTCGATATGAGG